AAAGATCTATAAAATAATTATATGGAAAGAGGACCCTTCAAAATCTAATAGTTCTCTTTGCAGACTACCCAAAGTAGAAAGAGCAATCATTAACATGCGATGCTTCTTCTCCCTATCATCTGTTATACTGTAAACCCTACAATCCGGTAGACTCAACCCACCACTAACCCCTTCATCAGAACCAACATCATTTCTGTATCCTAAGATTTCTAATCCACCGACACCAGAATCTGGGGCATGAAGGTGTTTGCTAAGCCCAAAAGAGAACCCATTGTACTACTGCTTTTCCCCCTTTTTCTCAAGTTGACTGATGAAAAATAGAATCTCTTTTACACTGCTTCCCAAAAGGTAAAGAAAATTTAATTTTTTTGGAGTAAAAGAAGAATTTATTGAGACCAAGAGAAAAGATTACATGAAAGGAGAATGAGACATCCTCTCAAATGGAAAAAAGAAAAAAACAAGAAATCTACTCTTAAAAAGTTATACCAAGTCCATTCTTCCTATTTAAGGCAGGGGATTTCTCAATCATTTCTTAAACTCAAAGCATGAAATCTCTGTTAAATTTAGAACACGAAAACATAACAGCGCAGTTCAAATTCCAAAAGGTCCATGAATGAAAATCAGAAAATAAAACAAAAAAAAAAAGAGGAGGAAAAAAAAGTTTTAAGCAGTTCAAAAAAAAAAAGTTAGTTCTAAGATTTTTCTTTCCCTTCCTCTGAAAAAAAAAGAAAAAAAAATGGAGTCGCAAGAAAAAAGTTCACTATTTTTTTTTTAAACAAATAAAAGGTGCTGAGCGTTCCCCTTTCTTCTCCCTTCACTTCCCTCGTTTTGTATGTGAACAGGAATTAAAAAGCACGAGAGAATGACATATTGTTTTGTTCTACTTCGTTTTCTTCATTTTAATTTCTTCTATTACTACGTTGATTAACAATCAGACATCAACAGAATTCCTTCCCATCAATAAAAAACAATATATGTCAATATATACATATAGATGTCTATACAGAGAGGAACGAGAAAAATGCGGCAGGGATGACAAATATGACCTGGAGGGTGAGCGGCTTCTGTCTCTTCTGCTTCGCCTGCTACGGCGGTGAGCGACTGGAGATGGAGAGTACCTCCTCCTATAAGAAGGCGACCGCGAACGAGATAAGCTTCGAGCCATATTTCTTGCAGGCAGGGACTTGCTGATTCTATTGCATCTGAACAATCTCCATAGATACAAGCAGCAAAATCGGCTAAACTTATAATTGATTGCTCAATACTTCCACAGCAGGATTTTCATGGGCCTTTACAGTAAAAATCATATTTTGGAATAAAAAAAAATATATATTTTTTATAAAAAAACAAATTTTTATAATAAAATAAAAATTTTTTTTCTACATAATATGTTATAGTCTTCTTTTTATTTAGTAGTTATTTTTTTTTGTATTTTAAATAGAATTATTAGAGTTTTATCGTTAACAAATATATAAATAAGTTTATATAATTTATAAGTTAATATCATTAAACAGTATTAATAATTTTTTTACAAAAAAAAAAAATCATCAAACTATACATTGTCAAATACCTAATAAAGTTTATGGTTTAAAATTTTTTTAAAAATAAAATAAGTCAAATATATTTTCAATATAATTATTATTAATCATCTTAAAAAACAATAATTAATTCCTCAAATATATATATGAATATGAAAAATATTAAGTGCAAAGGAACATAAATCACTTGCATATTCTTATTTCATAATTCTCTAATAAACCAATCACCTGTACAGAACAATATACATATTATCTACAGATATCAGCCCAGTATAATTACATCTTCTATTAAGAAATCTGTGATATTTATTACATTATCCAGAAAAAAAAGAAAATGTTGCTGCCACCACTCTACTAAGGTGAATAATGTTGAGAACCAAATATTATAAATCTGTAACATCTTCGCAGGCGAACCTGCGGATTTTGACTCGGGTAGTTATTCAAGTTTTCATTCAAATTAGAAATCTTAGTTTTAGCTGTTTTCCAACACAGAAAATATATATTAAGTTATACTGAAATAAAAGTAATATTTACACTAGTAAAATATTATACCACATACCAAACAATAGCATGCTTACATGGGAAATAAGTACCATGGTTTACAGATGATATATATATATATATATGTATATATTTATAGGATATTACATATTTCCTAAATTTTTCATATACAGTTATCTCTATGAGTATGGTAATCCATGTTTTTGGTTCCAAATTGATCTCAAAATTTGATTTGATGAGGGAAGAGCCTTATCTTGCTTTAGATAACTGGATAGCTTCTTGGTCTATGCTTGAATCTTCAGCCCAGGCAAATTGGTGAGACATGAGTGAGAGCTCATGATTCCTAACTTCCTCGAGCTGCTCCCACTCGGCCCATCTTTCTGCTAACCCCACTCCTTGTAACATTTTTACTACTTCTGCCATTGTTGGACGGTCTTCAGGTGAGCTTTGAGTGCAGAGTAATGCAACCTGCACAACAGTCTCTACTTCTTTGGGATCATACGTCTCCAGGTTTCCATCCACAATGTCAGTCAGTCTATTTTCTCTCAGCAGTTTTTTTATCTGTTCAAAAATAACTCCATAGATCACTTAAACTTAAACAAATAAATAATATAGGCCTGTCATCAGTTGCATCAACTACTAAGCCGAAAACAGAAATAGTATTACTGGGGAAAACAAAATAAATTAAGAGCTACTTATTCATGTCACAGAAAACATTTCCAAGTGGCAGGACCGCAAGATCCTGAAAACCGCCAAAATTATTGAGAAACCACTTGAACTAGTTGTTGATTAAGGCAACAGACTTCTTTACATGAGGTACCTGAGATTTGAGAGAGACTTTGATGCTATCCTACCAAGCATAATGAAAAAATAACTTTGGAAGTTAGAAACAACTCAAGGGCAGAAGCCAATTATGCAACTATAAAGGAATTTTTGTTTCATGCCTACTAATATAATTGTTCTTGCATGTATTTCATCAGTCTCATCTTTATCGAAGGCAGAGAGTAGGACCCAATGTTACAACTGGCAAGATTTAACAAAAAGAAAAGAGACCAAAGGGTAGAACTCAACGTTACAACTGGCAAGATTTAGCGGAATGGAAAGAAACCTATGGAGAGAATTTCATTACACAAATGAATATCACCAATATCCTGATAATAGTGTTACCAAATCTGAAAATTATGTAGTTTTTGAAAGAAGGCGACGAATTAATTATACAAGCCCCCATGGACAAAGCTAAACACTAAAGCACATTTCAATTGTGCATCAGACAGAGAGCCTTCACCATCATAGATACAGCTATGTTTTAATAACCTTGTTATGAACTAAAAGGTAAACGCTAATGAAATATCTTCTATTGAAGTAAGAACCACAAGCAACAGAGTTGACTTGTAACTACATGCAGGCTTCTCTGGTTTGAAGGATGACAGACTATAATTTGGCCTAGAGGTTATCACAGGTCCTATTTTCATTTTGAAGGTTAACTTCAAAATTTTCAACTAAAGCAGATAAACAGTAAATTATTTACGTTTACTTGTTAAAAACCATACATATGATGACAAAAAATAATCTTATTTTTTGAGATATATGTAATAGATTTTTTTTTTAAATAAAGAGATATATGTAATAGATATTGGACTATTTTTTTTAACTTCAAGTTTTAAGATGGTTAGTCACTGAATAAATTATTTAGCATGTTATTTGAATCCGGTTGTGAGCTAGGGACCTACCGGTTATGGTCCACATTCCCACTGTCCAAATGGCTGTCTTAAATTGACTTTGGCAGATCAAGGGTGCCAATAGTGGGGAGGAAGAAAATGCAACATATAGTTCTTCAGTGCTTCCTATTCTGCCACTTTAAACTGGTAGTGAAGAGTACTTCTTAATATACCACATCAAAATACCATATAAACTTTTTATCTTATCCTGATCATCCTAGAGAATAGAAGAATCTAGTGAACTAAAGTTAGTGTTTTATTCCATATTCTATTTCGTAATGTTCCTCTCTGTTCTTCCTTGTGTCCCTGCTATATTTACGGTAGTCTTTGTTCTTTACGTGTCTCTCCCTCTCTCTTGTTATTCATCTTTATCCTTTGTTTCCTCTATCATTCTCTACTCTCTTCACTTTTATCTATTATTCTATAAACTATCCAACATCCGTTGCTACCAGAGGTATATTGTTTTTGTACCAATTTAGGAGAGCAAGAAGAATGAGTAGCGTGACACTTGGAGGCACGCAGACATATTGATACATGGCAACTTTTATGACTGAAGCCCACCAAGACAATGCATGCACTTGGAAGAATAGGTGGTAAAATGTGACTCTTAATTCAGTAAGCTCTAAGCTATAGATGTGGAATGATATAATGGAGTAGAGATAAATGAATCAGAAACACGACCTAAGATAGCTCTTAACATGTGGGAGATTTGGGCATGGCTGGGTCGGAAATGGATGAGATTTGGGCTTGGGATGGTCTTAATGTTAGAAATAAATTAGATAATGTGATCCCTTTAACAGTCTTTTGGGTTTTGTGGAAAGAAAGGAATCGTAGAGCTTTTGAGGGTGAGAAATACAATTTTTCTAAGTTAAAAGATAGATGGCTGAATTTTTTTAAGTCTATCCTATTAGGGCACGACATTATTTGTGATGAAGATTTTGAGAATGTCGTTGAATCTCTAACTATAATGTAAATTCTTCTGTACATAGGTGGTACCGTTTTTGTTAGTACCTGTAAATATACTGATTATTTTTTATTTTAAAAAAAAAACATGTGAGAGAGTGGAAGGCTGTTAAGATTCAAGGAGTAATGGAGAAGGCTTCACACCTTGAGGACATTACTGTTAAATTCACATGTGAAACATCCCATATTGAAA